ATGAAAATGGACATTAATTAATGGACATAAAATTAATTTTACTAAGAAGGGAAGAAGGATTGATATTTCCATTAATTAATTTAAAGAGGAAAATAACATCGTTTTTGACGCCCCTATGTGCTAGAGAATCAATATTTATATTGATATACATATTTAAAAAATATTTATAATATCAATGAAAATATCGACTATCGATATTTCAAGTACTTTCTTGGTATCCATAATTGTAGGCCGATATTAATATCGATGAAAATATGGATTATTGGGCATTCGATATCTCATCCCTATTCTAGATTGTCTGTCCATAACTTTATAACATTGGATATACGTTTGAATATAGTTGAAAGTAGTTTTAAATGAATTAAATTTGATATAATCCATATTAATTATTGTCACATTTTTATTTATGGTATTTGATGCATTCATAATTTTAAATTGGTAAAATTTTAATAAAGTTGTTTTTTTATATAGTCGCTATAGTCCATTGACAGGTAAAATGAACTTGAAAAGAAACAAAAAATAATTACACAGAAAATTGTTATGGTTTTAAAAAACGAGAATTGTGTTTTTTGATAATCCGTTAGTTTATGATAATAATTGGAAAACTCGTTATAGATTTAATGTAGTTGAGAAAATAAATATAAACATATATTCAAATACGCTGATGACTATTAAACTAATCAAAATTATGATTTGACTTATGACTTGACTAATAAATATTAAAATAAAATTGTTCGTACGATGGAACATTTCGTTATATTATTAAATGGGTACTTAGTTGTACTAGGTCACAATTTTATTTTAAAATAACTATTATCAAGCATTATACCTACTACTGAACTTAAGTCACGTTTTGTAAGAAGATAAGATCTATTACCAGTATTAAATTCCAATCCTTGCAATGTTTTTTTAAGGTTACCTAACTATTACTTCGCTGTTTCGAACTATTAAGCTATGGTAGGAATGGTTTTCTAAGGCATTTAAGTAAGTAGATAAGTTTAGTGAATTTATTTACTCACTATAGCCATCTTCGGGATTTATAGAAGTTCAAGTGATTAGCTTTCGAAACAAAAAGCAGGAAAAAGAAGTGTAGCGACAATAAATTTTTATAATTTAGGGCGTTGGGAATTCCTAGAAGTACTACCGGACGCTGGAGTAAACTCCTCCAGTTACTACTCGCAAAGTGGTCCGGGGCTGCCCAATCCCGTCGGGATTGGGCGGGGAAGACCGGCCAACGACAGTGCGTAAATACTTAACCATAGGGAAAAACAAACTACCTTTGTTTATTTACATATTACTCCCATTGTTAATATATGTGTATATATATATATATATATTAATAGTACCATCCTTTAATTGTTGGATTAAATTTATTGTTATTAGGGTTTAAATCTATGTTATAAATTTATATATTGATTGAGGTCAGTGTGATTTGAATATAAATCCCTAGTTCGACTTTGAAACAAGGCTAAAATTAAATAAATATATATTGAATACTTAATAGTTGACCGCTGCATTATTAAGAAAGGAAAAGGTCCGGGCTGGCGCTAATAAATACACTAAATAGTGGCAAAACAATTTTATTAAAAGCCAACGTTTCGACTCAACTTTGCAGTTCTTCTTCAATTCTAGAACGGACAAGATACAAAAAGATATAGAGAATAATATAAAATTCTCTATATCTTTTTGTATCTTGTCCGTTCTTGCCATGAAGAAGACCTGCAAAGTCAGATCGAAACGTTGGCTTTTAATAAAACAGTTTTGCCACTATTTATGACCGACACCCCGGACCATCTCCTTCCTAAATAAAAAAAAATATATATTTTTTTTAAGTTGTCATTTATTTTTCGCTGGATTTAAAATATTTTGTTAAAATAAAACTTGGTTAGATTTTCTGATTAAAAGAAAAAGATTTTTGTCCTGATTTGAAAAATTTAAAAATCTATTTCCCATGAGCTGTCAGAACCTACAGCTCCTTTGTCAACAACAATAATGGTCCTAATGCTAATAATGTAAAGTTATAGAACTGGTCCAGTCCATTGAATTTCACATTTGCAAACGACTTGTACCGATTTTATCTATAAAATAATGGGTTTTTTTGATACTCTTATCAGACATGTTTTAAGTTTTGTAAGTTTATATTTTTTTTTAAGTTAAAAATTTTGGTTGGAGTTTCCCAAAATAAAATTTTATTTTACTCAATCTTCCATATTTGTTTCTATGAGTGATTTGAGCTAATTTCTTAAACAATCACAATATGTTCTCTCTTTTTAATTGTAACGCATATACAGCTTGTAAATGTAAGCATATTTCGAGAAATATAAAAAATAAATCCCTAAAAGCGTTGTTCCTGTACTTACGTTTTTATTTTTAACTTAACTTTTTTTTTGAAATTTCTTAAAGGACCATCTAAACATCGTTTATTCCAGAGTAACTAAGCTAAAAAATAAAAATAAAATAAAATAAATTAACTTTCGTATCCTTTATAGTTGAACTTTATGGTATATATGATTGCACAGTATCGATTTCAAAACTTCATAAATTCTTTATTGTAATCATGGATACAATCGATCAAAGCCTTGTTAATTCAACCTATTTTTCATAACTTATCAATAAAATATATTTTATATTTGCATAATATTTTTCACACGGTCATGCTTCTAAATAATAAGAAAAAAATAACATTTTCTGTTTCATCAATATGATTTACTTAAAATTAGTTTCTGGAAAAAAGATGTGCACTTTTAGAAGCAGAAAAGTCTTCAGAGTGCTCAATGTCACAGTGTATTTTCAGTCCTATTAAATTTCCGCTTGATTATTCATGAATTTCAGATTGAATAATTAAAGGAAAACTATTATGTGTTTGATAGTAGAGACAATACAGCATTTGCCATCTTCATAGACAGTGCGGTGTACAACGTTAGCCAACTATTGATTTATCGAAGATTAAAGTTTGATTCAAGACATTATGAATCCGTAAATCGTCTTTTAAATAAAGGCTCCAATCCGAAAATCATTAATAGATTATTATTATTGGGTAGAATAAAATATAATTTTATTTTTATTTTCACAGGCAACTTTATTGAGATATTTTGATTATGATTTTTACTATTAAGACATTTTCAATGTAGAGAAATAATTCACCTTCAGTAAAAAAAAAATTAACAATCTTCAAAAATGCTACACCACCCACCAAGGTAAAGGAGCTAGAGCACTTAATTAGGAAGAGAGGATAGAAAAATAACATCATTCATAATAAAACATTACTAATTAAAGCGACAGGAAATTTTAATAAATGAGTTTTCTTCAAGTATTTAAATATATAAATATTTGTATTTAAATATCTTAATAATACAAAATATGTTTGTTTATTTCATGGAGTATTGTCATATTTTATAGAGATATTTGCTGTCAGAAAATTCATATTTATTTGGTTTTAATTCACTTTATATAAGGAAATTCAAGTTTATAAACTGTGTTCATGAACTCAACGAGGAATGAAACTTAATATAAATTTAATTAAGTTTAATTAATATGCCGTACTATAAATATTCACTCCGTTTAATTATTAAACCCATTTCTAATTCCTCTCTTGTTTGAGCTGTTTATTTGTAAGTAACGTTTCTAAATTCAATTTGAAACAAAATATGCAAACTATTCCGTCATTATTCGGTTACATGTTTTTAAAAAAATTCAAATAGTTTCTTTTGTGTAACAGAAATTTGAAATTAAAATTTTTAAGCAAATCGAAAAAAAAAAATAAATATAAGAAATAATACAGTTGATTTAAAAAAAAACGAAAACACTCATTTATTAAAATTCCTTTCAAAACATGAAATCATATAAAATATAATAAATATTTAATGATTATTTTTGTTATAAGGATATTGAGTAAAATATTACTAATCCTGATTTATAATTCCAACTAGTCAATGTTAAAATGATAGTAAAATTGTTTTAAATACAAAATATATAATTTTTTTAGTATATTTTTCGATTTTATTGTAGGTATTATTTTCAGCATATTGATTTTTAGACCATACAAAAATTAATTAAATAATTTTGTTTAAATTTGAAAGTTGATTACTACAGATTTTTGACGCTGCCGATAACTATAGAATTAATTTGATTGTATTTTTTAAACCGTCTTAATTTAGTATGCTGATCTTTGGTTTAAATAAATTTTTATTTAATTAGAGATGGAGTCTGTAAAGGATCCTTCTCTAAGAACAAACAATAAATAAATATGTAGAGAATGGAATTTGATTTGTTAAATTTACTATCCATTTATTAAGTTGAGAAAATATTTTTTTTTTTACTTATTGTATAATAATTGTATCGATTGCTCAAGCATTTCAGATGATCGTTTTAATGTAAAATGTTAGTAAAATTGTTTTAAATACAAAATATATAATTTGTTTAGTATATTTTTTTTTGTGTGGAATATATATGATGAAAGGAAGAATGTTTTTGACATCGATTTTTTTTATGCTTATTATAGGTTTTATTTTCAGTATATTGATTTTTAGACCATGCAGAGATTAATTAAATAATTTTGTTTAAATTTGAAAGTTGATTACTACAGATTTTTGACGCTGCTGATAATTATAGAATTAATTATTTAGTATGCTGATCTTTGGTTTTTATTTAATTAGAGATGGTGTGTGAAAAGGATCCTTACCTAAGAACAAACAATAAATAAATATGTAGAGAATGGAATTTAATTTGTTAAATTTACTATCCATTTTTTAAGTTGAGAAAATATTTTTTTTTTACTTATTGTATAATAATTGTATCGATTGCTCAAGAATTTCAGATAATGGTTTTAATGGTTACAAATTATATTAAGATGTGAACCTGAAAAAATTTCTTAAATAGGAGTTACCGATTATGGTTGGAAGGGATTCGAAAAAAAAAATGTATATACATTTGTAAATATTTTTGCACAGTTAAATGCCCCCTAAATATATGATTTAGATATAATATTTAATGTATATTACCATATCGTAGTAGATGGGGTTGGCTGTGATCGCTTCCATCTTGGCGCGGGATGCTGTGGTTGGACTGGCGGGCCCGCCGTCCGGGCCGCCCTATATAGCCTAGCTCCAGGCCGCCCCCCCTCCACGGCCCAACCCCTCACCAATTAACACTTGGGCTTTTCCTTCCAAACATTTTCCATTGACATCAGAGGGATGACTTAATACCAAAGGGCTGTCCCTCCTCCTCATCCGATTCCGAATATAACGTTTATTCCAGTTCCTATAAGATACCAAAGATTTATTTTTGGATCAGTCTCTGCATATCGGAATGAAAATATCCTGCAGCTAAGAAAAATTTAGGGAGCTATGAGAAAATATCATAAAATTCTTAATGAAGATTTGTTTTTTTTATAAACTTAGAAAATTCATTGGAGTGATCAGTCACTGAATGCAGTGTTCATCTCGTCAGTTTTCTACCTAATCATGGACCCCATTAAATAAAACTATAAAGGAAACTCAGGAATTAGGATTTAAAATATGGACGCCTCTGCGCTGAAGAGATGTTGCTGTCCAGCTCTATTCCATCAGAGCAAGAAAATAATCTAATATTTAAATGAATAAAAAAAATATATTTCATTAAAATCATGTCATTAAATAATCTGAGCCATCAAGCTATGATATCGTTCCAGCCGTTTGTTCGAAAAATCGTTCCATTTCTACAGGTGGTTAACCCAAATATATACTCATTTCGTCACAGTTTTCTACCTAATCATGGACCCCTTTAAATAAAACTATAAAGGAAACTCAGGAATCAGGATTTAAAATTTGGTCACCCCTGCGCTGAAGAGGTTGCTGTCCAGCTCTATTCCATCAGAACAAGGAAATAATGTAATTTTTAAGTGAATAAAACAAATTATGATTCAATTTTCAAAAAACCAGTATGCAGAAATAAGTCTATCAATCTTAAGGGAATGTCTATGAATCGGCGGAATAAATTCATGAAACTAAGAATAAACCTGGTGTAGTTTTTGAATGGCTTCTAGCCTCGAATGAAAATCATGAGTACATGGGACGAAATCAACTTTCCAGCACACGTAAGGTGTAATGGTAGATATCCTAACATTACACCATGTTTAAATATTTGCAGATGTTAGTTTTCTTAACAATCTTCCGTTGTGTTTAAGTACTCGTAGATATTGTCTTTCCCTCATTGAATTGGGCCATTTCTATACTTAGAAAAAATAAATAAAACAATTAAGTTATATTTTTATTTAAAAAGTTTTTATTTTAACATATACAAACAATTTATACAGTACATATCGCCGGCACCATGTTAAATTAATGAATGTGAGTCTGTTTAACATTGCACATTCGTTGCTTTAACATGGTGCCGACGATATGAATACGAAGTTTCACATGGTATGGTATGAAACCGAAAAAACATTGAGAATGCATAAAATATGTTTTCATTATTTTGAGCCTTGTAATGTGAACTCTGGAACTCAAACATCAACTCATTGGTTCACTTGTTACATTTCTGATAGCGGATTGATTAAACACTTGTAATTAAATAATTTGTCAGTGCTTTGAGTCAAAATTGTTTCAAATCACTCACGGTTTGTCATTAAATAATCTGAGCCATCAAGCTATGATATCGTTCCAGCCGTTTGTTCGACAAATCGTTTCTACCATTTCTATAGGTGGTTAACCCAAACACATACTCTTTTGGCTTCCCCGTAGTCGATTCTTAAACTGTATAGAATTCTTACCTCTCAATTAACATTTTAATTTTTATTTAAACAATCCGTGTTAGCGTGCGCTCCTAGGAACTGGGTCTAGTGTGTAAATCTGAAATGATTTTCTTTTGACAACAAGATCACGAACCAACGATTCGAACAATATTAATCAACGCACAATGCATCATCCATTTCTAAAATGAAAATATTTTCTAATGGTTATCTGCTGCCGTGTATTTTAAATTAATCATCAGATTACATATTCATATCCTCACATTATTCATATTTTTTGTAAGTTAATACAATGGCGAAACTGTAAGAAATAATTCCTTTTGTGGTAATTGCTTCATTAGTTACAATTCATTTCTCGTTATAAATGCATTTCTTCTCACGTGAATAAATATTAAACATCACGCAATTTAGTAGGCAATGTGTGGCCTTTAATACTTACTATATTTAAATTAGCAAGATTTAATCCTTAGATTATATTGCAAGCATCTAATGTACAATCAATTAGTCTGCACTATACATTGTACGGTAATATATCCCGGTTCTCAGGAGGGACGGAGTTTTGATGAACCAGGAATAAAAAAAAGGTTATTTCACAGAGGACTGACGGATACCAATTTTGAAATCTTAAAATTTTATTGACTTTTGGTGTTTTACCAAACCATCTAATTCCTTTCGTATCCAATCCTGACAATCCAAAATTCTTTATACTCCATACTTTGTCTCAAATAAAACCATTCATAAAGACCTTAATGTACCATATGTCGCTAATTTAGCCCGAGCCAGATAAGATATCTATACGTTCATGACTCGGATCCTCTAATAGCGTCCCGGAACCTGCAAAAACACCTCTCCTTCATTGAGCAGTGGTGCAACAACTGGCGCATCAAAATTAATGAATCAAAATGCAAACATGTAACTTTCACTCTTCGATGCAGATCCTGTCCGCCAATCTTTTTTAATTCAATTCCTCTTCACTACTCAGACACAGTCCGATACCTTGGCTTCCTTCTGGAAAAAAGACTGACTTGGAACCCACATACGAGACTTAAAAGACAAGAGCTTAACCGACGATTTGGTCAGCTATATAGACTACTAAACAGAACATCTCATCTCTCAACAGAAAACAAATTATTAATCTACAAGACCATACTGAAACCTATCTGGACCTACGGACTTGAACTGTGGGGGACAACTAAATCATCGAATATCAAACGCATCCAATCCTTCCAGTCCAAAGTCCTTCGAACAATAGTCAATGCTCCATATTATGTCATGAACAAGATCCTACACCATGACCTTAACATCCCATATGTCCATGACATCATCCCATCCAGATTCTCCAACTTTCACCAGAACCTCATTCATCATCCCAATCCTCTAGCGCAATCCCTATCCAGCTCCGATCATCCATACCATCCCCCTCGAAGGTTGAAACGGCAGTGGCCTAGAGATCTTTTGTAAATATGCCTTTGGAGTCCTGGCAATGGCCAGCTTCTCTACTCATGTCCTGAGCGTCTGTGGCTCTAGTGCCCTCTTTCAGTCTCCATTGGCTTCTAATACTAGTGATGCGGCTGGAAAAGTGGCACTGGGATCTTCCGGAGTCTTGCTTTGCCTTCCACGTGTGGGGGAAAAAGCCTGGCTCGGAGATTCTTGGGTATATGTATATATTGTATATAGTTATGATTGTGTTTAGAAGTTTTTATTTTATTTTATTTGTTTATTTTTATTTACCTTCTGCATCAGTATTATTTATTTACTTCTTATATTTATATTTATTTCTTTATTATTTGTATATATTGTATGAATGAGAACTTTTAGCCCTAAAGCTTATAGCCCTTCAGCAGTGGCTGATTGTATTATTATTCAATAAATAGATAAAAAAAAAAAAAAAATACGTTCATGATAAACTCCAGTCCCATCCAAATCCACTTGTTTCAGCCTTGCATCTTCCTGGATTCCTCATAATCCTCATAAATGTCTGAAAAGGAAATGGCCTCGTGATGTTCTTACCTAGAATTATTTAGGGAGTGCTACCCTATACCGGGGAGTGTCTCTTCAAGCCTGTTCATGTCATTATTTCAAATTTATGCATATCTACTAGTTGTATTTATATATAGCTGTAAATTTCATTAAGTAAAAAAAAAAAAATAATAAAAATACTTTGGATGGTATAAAAAGAAACTTTGAAAATTCTTACGATGATTTTGATGTTCTTATCAAGGTCTGATTTGTGTACACCGTAACAAATAAGAGAACACAACTTTCTTTAGTTGTATTAAGACATATTTGGGCTGGTGCTAAAAAGATGAATCTTTACAACTCTTTTGCACGAGTCCAAATAGTGCTCAACAAGTACAGGGGGTTAGTATTAGTTTGTTATGTAGCTGAATCTTATTTCTGAACTGTTAAAGAGTAGAGATATTTTAGTAGGACGACCTAATTTTAACAACATTTCGACGGCACCAAAATGTTGTTAAAGTTACGAACATTTGTATGCTTAACGTTGCGCATTCGCTACTTTAACATGGTGCCGACGGTTTAGTAAAATATTATTTCATCAGTTTTTATTAAGTATTGATTCATTTATTCAAGCTTCATCAATTGGACGTGTTCAATAGATTGTACTAATAATGAATAAAACTATTTTATAAATATCATTTATACTTCAAACCTATTAGAGAAAAGAAAAAATAGATTTCTAATGGGAGAGTTCTCTCAGAGATACACTGTTTAATTAAAGCTCTAACTTTGAAAAAAAAAATATTCAAATATCTTCTTTTACTTCTTGCATATTCTCGTTGCCAAAAGTACACCTCATTTGTTTACAATGTAGTTTGGCTGCTTTTAAATTCTACTTTCGTTATATTATTTTGTTAGACAGGGTTACCATGTAGTGGAGATATGTCGACTTATTTTTAGAGAAAAAGTCAATTGAATACTTTTTTATTTATTTATTTATTATTATTTATAAAATTTATAACTGTACAAATTAATATACATTCAGCAAATGCCATACGAAGAAAAATATGATATGACAAAGCTTGTAGAGAATCTACCCAATGGTAGTGCTTTAATAAAGTATTTAAGTTAGGAGATCACTAGGCCATTTTCTTTATAGACAGCTAGGAGGATTATCAGGGATCGAGGAAGAAGCGAGGTTAGAAACGAGAGGATTAGGATGATTATGAAGTTTATTATGGAAGGATAGATATCTGGATTGGGCCAAATCGGAAACATAGGGAACATTCAGGTCATTATGGATTATTTTATTTGTTACAAAGTAAGGAGCATTAAGGATTTTTCTGAGCATTTTGGATTGTAATGATTGT